AATGAATATCACGTGACTATTCACGTACACTGGGCATGTGGGTGCCGGTGTAAATAGGAAGTAGATTGGTTGCTTATTTAAAAAAAATATGACAGAGTAATGAAGTAGTCTTTAAAAATGAAGACTATAAACTCTTCCTCTATAAACTCAAACAGCTATATCTATCTCTCTCTCTCACATCAAATTTACTTTAATATTAACACTTACAAGTAATGGTTTACTAGATTATGGGTCATAAATGTGGACAACACACATATCTCACTCGTTTCCTCAGTTTTGTTGTTGTCTGTTCACACTCGTAGCTCTGCTGGTGGCTGAAGTCTCTGTCGTACTAGAGAGCAATTACTGCTTTAGGTGTGGGTTTCACAATAGTTGTGCACAGTGTTGCCAACTCCTCAGTAAGGAAAGTAGCTATTGGCTGTCCAAAAAGTCGCTAGAAGTCGCTAAATGACGTCATCACCTAATGTGCATAATTGTAATGAGCGCTGTAGGAAAGAGGCGGGAACAGCGGCGGCTTTGCACATGCGCGATTCATTTGCAGTCTGGACACGGAGAGTGTGGGTCTCCTCTCTGCAGCTGGGACTGCTGCGCGAGGGGCTACTGTGAGACCAACTGCCTTTGAGTGCTTTGGGGCGGCGGAGGGGTTCCCTGCCGCCTGCCGCGTGCCGAACGGTACGTGCTTTCACGTCAGAGTCAAAACACCAGAAAAGTCTCCAACAACACCAGAAAAAGTAGCTAGATTTGTCGCTAGTAGCTTTTGACAAAAAAAGTCGCCATGAGGGTTTGGAAAGTCGCCAGATTTAGCGAGAAAGTCGGCAAGTTGGCAACACTGGTTGTGCAGAACAAAATATGCATTAATAAGAAAAGGAAAGTCCTCCGTTTTGTGTCCGTCCTCCTCAAAGCCGCTAACCGTGACTTCAGACGTCCGCTCCGTAGGGCTGATAACGCCGTTAGACTCCCTGCTCACTAATCGCTCCAATAACAGCTGTTTCCTCCGCAAAAATGCAGACTTTAACTGGACAACAGCTGCTAGTAAAGACAACAAGGTCAACAACACCTGTTGTCAGTTGTCCATGTTAAATTAAACTGGTAGTCGATCGGTAATCAATGTTGTTTGTGATCTTCCAGGAAAGGGTCACGTGATAGGGGTGTGACGAACCAGTCAAGTACCGAACATGGGTGTCTACGTCATCGTTTCTAAACTTATGCGTTTACGAGCGTCCACACAAAGAGGTAACTCCAGAGTATTCAAACTTATCTGTTTTCGATGCTTAACGCTCAGTGTAAACGTAGCAAAACAAATGTGTTTTAAAATGGAAACATAGTAGTGTGGACTTCAGGCTTTAACAAAAAATAAAATGGAAATAAATAATGTTTATTTTAATTAAATTTTTTGCAAAGTGGACAATCTTTCAAAGGAAACACCTCTTATCTTGGAGTTTGAGGTGATACTGTCACTGAAAATAAAAAATGTTTTAATATTTTGTCAACTAAAATCTGTCAGGCGCCTTTCCCTGCAGGTAGCTAATCATGATTTGCAGACCCCCGCTCTCGGTAAACTATCAATGGATAAATCCAAAAAAAGAAAAGTCATGGAGGAAAATAGAGAGTTTAATTCTGCGTGGACGTATTAATTTGCTTTCACTGCTAACGATGCTGGCTTACCTGTATGCTTGATATGTGGCGAGAAATTTGCAAACATCAAAAAATGCATGTTGAAAGTTAATTCCAGAACAAGCGCACAGCATTTGCTGAAAAGTATCAAGCTGGAGATGAGCGGAAAAAAGAGCGATCTCTCAACTGCTGCAGCAAACTGAGCAGGTCTTTTTCTCCTCTTCATAAGAGTTTGATATTGTTATAACAGGTAAAATAGCAATAAAATGTCAAGAATTGTCTTTATTCTTGTTCTATAATTTCATAAATACAACAAACTATAGTTTTTGTATATATATAACATAACTATATATACAACTTTATATGCTGTGATATCAATATAGCTTTTGCAGCTCCAGATGAATTTTATTTGGTGGAAAATAGGGCAAAATGGCTTTTTGGATAGTAAAGGTTGCCGACCCCAGCCCTAAAGCATACTCTGCTTAATCGTCTATTTGACTCTAAATGGGACCATCATTTACTAAATGAACATCATGCTGTATTGAAGAAGAGATTGAGATCATAAAGTCATGTTGACAATGTTTACTGAGGTAATAAATCAAGTGAGAAGTAGAGTCATTTTCTCATAGACTTTAATACAATCTGACTTTTTGCAACCGAAGGAGTCGCTCCCTGATGGCCGCATTGGTTTCAATTTTCAGAACCGGTGGTTACCACCATGTTTCCTACAGTAGCTCAGAACAGACAAATCAAACACTGGCTCTAGATAAGGTCATTTGCGTCTTCATGCTGGCTAATGTAGTTCTCCTACACGCTTGGCACACGAGACGTTTCACTTGATTTCGATCTGCAACATCACCTCTAGATGGAGCCCAATTCTACACATTGCACCTTTAGGTAAAACTCTTACAGTAATGCCACACAGTAAAAGTTCATATATAACCTTCACATTCAAAACGTTTTAAAGGTAAATGTAGTAGAATGACTGTTTCCTCTGAAATAGAGGGGACTGAATCCCTCCTAGAATGGAATAGAAGTATAAACATTTGACAATCATTTAAAAAAAAACACTTTTTTAAGTAATAGCAGTCTAAATATGAGTTAGAATAGTAAATGAATTGTATAGGGGTTTTTGTTTTATCTTAACGTAATCATAGATCTAGACACAAAGTAATTACATGACTTTGTCAGCCAGCTAGCTAATACCAGTGGTGGGCCGTCAGGGCCTGCAAGGCCTTCTCTGCTGGCCTAAACAGAATCACAAACTTATAGCTATTTTATAATTTAATAATTTTTCTTAAATACACATGTATTATAATTTATAAAAATATTTTTCCCATTATCTTATTTTCTCATTGCACAGCTACTGTCTTCCTCAGTTGCTCTGCTTCCAGTGCAGCTTGTTTTAAGTAGAGCTTTTATCCAATCAGATTTCACCTCTGTGTCTCTAGGTAAGAACAGAGGCCCAAAAGTGAATCCATGTGCAGTTTAAGTGAATGGGGATGATATTGTTGATTGTCATATTCTTCAACCAATCAGATCTTTAGTTTGACATGTTGGGCGTAATCTTTTGACGTGTCATAGCCTGCTAGCTGGCCTACAAGTACGTGATTGGTCAGTGGGCTAGCGTGACATGTTGGGCGGTGACAATGCCAATATCTGCTGCCTCTGTAGAGTGGATATTTTTAGCCCTCAAACGCATTAAAACCTATTCAAGAAATACAACTGGGGAGGCTCGACCGTCTTCCCTGGCGTCCATGAATCGAGAAGGACTTCTTACTGGAACTAAAACGCACAGATGTACTGAACAACCGTGAGATTAAACTCTTTATTAACAAAGAAAGGAGGATGCACTTTGTCTTTAAATAGTGAACAGCAGCTCTGGTAAGTTAAATGCGTTTGTTTTTACATCTGCAGTAGCTTTAATATGCTTGTTTATCTATTATTATTTGTAGAACTTGTTTTTATGAAGATTTTTGTTTGGTTTTATATGTGATAGGAACCATTGTTACGTCCAATGTTGCTCTGGGGACATATTTAGCACGTGCCAGTGTTGGCAACTTGGCGACTTTCTCGCTAAATCTGGCGACTTTCCAAACCCTCATGGCTACTTTTCTGGTGTTATTGGAGAATTGTCTGGTGTTTTGACGTTAAAGCACGTACGTTCTGCACTGTCGTGAACGAGCAGCGGATGCTGCCATGAGCCCCTCCGCCGCCGCCCACAGAAGCCTCGCGCTGCAGTCCCAGCTGCAGTCAGAGCAAAGAGGAGACGCACTCTCGGCAGATAGTGTATCTACAGGTCTTGGCTTAATTTTTACACGAAACAAATAATAACCGTAGCTGTGTTTCAGCTACAGAAGTGCACATATGCTTACGGATACATGCACATACGCGACCAATTGCATGATCCTCCACCAGGCCAAGTTTAACTCAAGCCTGTCACCAAAATAGCCCCCAGTGATGTTTGTCATTTGAACCGGCAAAAGTGAGAGCCGAACTGTTAGCCTTGAATCCTTGTATTTCATGTCAGAACTGGTAAAATCAAACGATTTTTCCTATTCAAGCACTCTGGTTTTGCTCGCAATGTGGAGGCCAGCCATCATACCGCAGAGCAGTGCTGCAACGCTTGCAGCCGAGGTGGACAAAACACGATAGATCAAAGTAAAGAAAGGATATATTTGTTTATTTTAACCAATATCGATCTAATAAAATATGCCCCAGTTCCGATCCTTTAGATTGGCTCAGGGCAAATATTTAGGGTAATGTATATTTGTGTTTTGGGACTCCACTGTACTTTATATTAGTCAACGTATTTGCCTATAAGATATTTATACATCTTTCCTACTCAAATTGATCTGATGCTTTTGAAAGTGCAATGTGTGATATCGGGTTTCACGGTGGTGTGGTGCGGACCACTGTCTGGACGGCCCTTCTATGTGAGGTTGGATGTTCTCCCTGCGTCAGCTCGGTTTTTTTCTTGGTTCTCCAGCTTCCTCCCACAGTCCAAAGACATGCAATTGAGGACTCTAAATTAAATGTGAGCGTGAATGGTTGTGTCTCTATGTGTGACAGATAGCCGATCCCAATGTCAGCTGGGATTGGCTCCAGCCACTCAGTCACCCTGAATAAGATAAGCTGTTACGGATAATGGATGGATAAATGTGTAATATCTGCCATCGTGCTCCAAAGAAATAGGGGGCAGCATTTCACGGCAGGGCAAGAATATACAATATTTGACCAAACTGCTGAAGTTCTTCACACATACTGTATTTACAGGCGTCTGGCTATAGTTTATGTCAGCCATCTGTGTGATTATGCCACTAATCTGGGCTGCATGGCCTGTGCTTTGATAGTTTATTTATTGGACTAAATACAAAGTGGAGAAAATGGTTTCGTCCTCCCCGCTGCGAGGAGACCACCCCGCCGGGACTAGAGCATGCAGCAACCCCAGCAAACTAGTGCAGCAGCAGCAACAGAAGGTTCGCTGATCCGGCGAGTTAAACAGTTCCCCTGGAATCAAACCCCCGCTAACAGCTAACTGGAAGTCCGTTTTCCATGAGCTGTGCCCTTCTCTCCTCTTCCGGCGAAGCAGCCTCCCAGCGGCGGGGAGGACGGAACGCAAAGATTGTTCTCGTTTCTGTCACTTTAGATTTAATCTAATAAACAAACTATCAAAGTGTAACTTCACTGGATTAACTAGTCTGTGGGGCAGTTGTACTCTTTCGTCCTCGCATGTTTTATTTATGACAGACTGGGTGCTTTCAAACTAAAATTCTGGCCAGGTCCTACACATTGCAACTTCAAAGGGGATGAGAGGAGTTTAAAAAGTTGGTCATTATTTAGGCTTGCATCTACTCCACCAGCTGATACTGTATTCCACCTCATAATGATGTATTTATTCACTGTACTACTGCCAATTGTCAAAATTGCAAAATGTTGGTCTCACCCACATGCACAAGAAAGACTGTTGGATTTTTCTACAAAGAAAAACTCATCGGTATAATTTCAAATATGCTCTAAGTGAATACAAATCCTACCCATTGTAACTTTCATTCGATGTTTGAGATACCGGTAAAAGTTAACACTTTTTCTCCATTTTGAATCTCACAGTTCTTGAATAACAATTCATTGCCAGTATTCTTGAAACAACTCAGTGACATCAATCTCAACTCCACCAAGGAAGTGGTTGAATCTCCTGCAAACATTAACGCCATTGTTGACATATTTGACAACGTAGCCAACTTGAGTACCCCAATAACTAAGACTTCGATGAGGGTATGTGAATTGGTCTGCTGGTTTACACATGTCCTAAACCATATGTACTGCATTTCGCATGATCTAATGTTTTCTTTCTTTTCCATCTAGGATATCCTGTTAACCACAGGTGTCCTCACCACAGATGGATCAAAGGAATCATGGAACATTTTAAACACTGATAAAGCCAGAAACAGCTCAGTATCAGGACCAGTATCAACTAAAGGCGTCAGTTCAACATTGTTATTGGCTATTGAGACGTTAACAAGTAGAATTACTAATGACTCCTTTGACATCAACACGCCTCATATTCTCCTAAACAAAACTACATTCACTGACAATTTCAATGACGAGTTTAATTCTTCGGTGGAGATAAATGTACTTGAGTCTGATGGAGGAAATAAGTCCATCACCGTGATAACATTTGCCTCAATGGATAACGTGCTCCCTGTAAGAGATGAGGACAGTTCACCCTTCAACGTCATCAACGGTAGAGTCGTGCTTGTTCAGTCCAGTGGCGCCATCGATAATGTTTCCTTCACTTTCGATATTTTTGATGAAGCTCTCGGGAACCCCAAGTGTGTTTTCTGGAACTTCAGCCTCTTTGAGGGCATCGGGGGATGGGACGACGAGGGCTGTGAGTTGGTACACCACCTCAACAAAACCGTCACCTGCAACTGCAACCACCTGACCTCGTTCTCTATTCTCATGTCACCCTACCTTCCAGATGACCCTGCTTTGTTTTTGTTGAAATTTATAACCTACATTGGACTTGGCATATCTATAGCTTCCTTGGTCATATGCCTCATAATTGAAGCTGTCATATGGAGGAAAATAACGAAGAACAACACATCTTACTTGCGACATGTTTCCATTGTTAACATTGCCGTGTCTCTCCTGATTGCAAACGCATGGTTTATTATTGGGGCATTCATTTCAGATGCAGATGAGAAAGAGCCACCAGCATGCATTACGGCGACTTTTTTTATCCATTTTTTCTACCTGGCCCTGTTCTTCTGGATGTTAGCCTCAGGTCTGCTGTTGCTCTACCGCATGGTTAATGTCTTCGACGGGGGATTGTCCAAAAACTCTATGTTGGCTATTGGATTCACTCTAGGCTATGGGGCACCTCTCGTCACCGCGATCATAACTATAGCTGTAACACAACCCAAAGAGGCATACATCCAAAATACTGGCTGCTGGCTCAACTGGGACCAGTCCAAAGCTCTGCTGGCCTTTGTGGTCCCTGTGCTGTTAATAGTGGTGATAAACCTTATGATCCTGTTGGTGGTGATATACAAAATGTTAAGAAGAAGGGTTGTCGCAGATGCTGCACAAGTAGCTGAGAGGCACGCTCTGGTAGTTGTTATCAGGAGTTTGGCTGTCCTCACACCATTTTTCGGATTAACTTGGGGTCTGGGAGTCGGAACAATGGCAAAACCAAACGATATTGGAATCCATGTTTCATTCGCATTCTTCAATTCACTGCAGGTACAAACAGAGTAATAATACTGATCAACATATAACTGTATACTGTGGTACCTAAATGTTCTCTATAGATTCTGAATAGTGCATTTGCTTTTTGTCACTGAAACTTTCTTAGCTACTCTTTGTGTCTTTCTGTAAAGGGTTTCTTCATATTGGTGTTTGGAACGCTTTTGGACAAAAAGGTTTGTGTCTAAATATTTAAATTTTGAATCAACTGCTCAAATAATTAAAGGGGAAATCCACTTACAGCTAGAATCCACATACGTTATTTCTAATATTGCAGTTGCTAATGTTTTATATATGAATTTGCTTCTAAGCACTAAGCAAAGAGATGAATCTCTAGAGAGTAAATAATGAGACAGATTCAAGGACATTGTTATAGCAACCATTGTGATTGTACTAGGTATAATTTCTTCATTTAATATGCCAAGCAACAACTTAGAGTTAGCAGGCATTCAGACTGAACATGGCACTACATTTTAAAAACATTGGTGTGGATGTGTTGTCACAGGAACTAGCAGTGATTGATTGTGATATGATTCAGAAAGTCCAGTTTGAATAATCCATCCATGAGTTTGAAGGTTTAAGAGACGCAAAACCCTGCATAACAATTTAGGAAACTACATAAAACCCTTGTAAACCCTTGTAAAATTGTTTTAATTTAAACAAATGTGTTTGAGTTTTCTATCAATGTGCTAATTTTTGAGAATTATCTTTTCAGGTGTGGTCAGAAATAACAAAAATGTTACAAAGTTCCATTACTTGGACAACGGTAAGAACTTTTTGCTTAGTCATGTCACTTTTTTGTTTTCGAACTCAGATTTTTTGCAGATTTATATTTTTGCTTTTATTCTTGTTCTTGTTGATATCATTCAGACTGATATTGCTAGCAACCATATGGGAAAAACTATTAATGTTATCCTTTGAGTTGAGCGCAAAGGCAATATTTACACTTTGCCACATGAATAATTGCAATGAGATGCAAAGAAAAGGCAAATTGCACTCAGCTGCAAAGCTTTATGGGCTTGTTTGCGCTGGCGCAATATCCTTTGTGAATCGGACCTTGGGACAGGGCAGATAGCAGTTAACAACGATGGGCAATTCACCCTTCTGAGTCCCCTCAAATGCAAACTGGCCAATCATGGCATGGCATCGGCTATACGGCTCTGCTCCATAGACTCTCATGCAATCGTTTCTTCACTTTCAGGCTGGTTGAGTGGATTTGGAGCTCGTCATAGTTAAACCTTATGATACGTTGTGATACCCTATCCCCGGAGAGGTTGAAAGGAGATATGCGTTTCTAAAATGTTACGTTTCTTTGAAAGACCTGTGGAGCTAACATTAGCAGAGTAAATCAGCACACCATTAACTAGCGTTAGCACTTCAACTTCAACTACTGAAGGTATACTGAATGTACACACATGCTGCTTTTGCTTTTTAATGATGGTAACAGTGACTATGACCTATCAGTGTTCCTAAATGTCATTGTCTTCTGTCTCAATCTGCTGAATCAGTTTCAGATCCTGGACATCCTGGATATATCCTTTAAACGCATATTGTAGACCCTTTGACGGCTACAATCCGGTCTTTGTGAATTCGCCCGTTAGTCTTGTGTTGCTAGCAGTTGTCATATTGTTTTGCCACAGACTTAATCACTTTCTTTTGTTTTTGCAGATGTTTACCATGTGGCATCTAGTGACTCTGGCCCATCTCACTCTCAACACTTTATGACCTTAGCAGACAGCTCTGGTCAGTCAGGATGACAACCAACCCAGCAAACCAATGTGTGAAGGAAGTCACATACAGTATATGAAGAGATTCCACTTTGGCGCTTAATTAGAGTAAAACCAAAAAATTATGACATTTAAAAGTATTCAGCACATCGTGATGTAAGGAGATGCAAAATGGCTCTTGGTTTTGGTTTACTTTGCAAATCAAATCAGTTAGACAAGGCCAGGCTGTCTTACACAGATCATTGAACTTGCTTGCTCAAGTTGTGGCAGCCCAATGACAAATTGACTTGGACAGGACTATCAGTCAAATATAATTCCAAACTGGTAAAGGGAGTGACATGAATTACACCCAAAACATATAAAGCTGTATTTTTGATATGGAACCTTTGCTGCTATTTTAGCATGCTCAGTGACAGGAAGATAGCCACTTTCCACTCTTCCCCTCCCAGATCTCGATAACGTTCTGTCACACTGCACGTAAAATATGCATCAACACACAACCCAGTTTAACATCATTGGCTGCTTTTGGCAATATAACTACATATGCGTTCATGCTTGTGTGTACGACAAATGCTATGTTTATAACCAGTGTGTATCTGTATCATTTTTATAGTTTTGTGTGTGATATGGATGTTACCAATGGATGAGGGGAATTCTTATTTAGACAGACGGAGAAAGGGAGGCCGCAATCTTATCTTCGTATGTGCGAGATGCATGTGGGTTATTTGGATGTACGTAATTATCTGTGCAATGTGGGCCTGGACTTCACTTTACTTAAGACGAACGACGACTCAGCAGTAGTGGTGATCTGATTACAGGAAGGTGACATGAAGTCCAAACAATGAGGCACAGTGAAATAAGTCATTGGTGTTTCAGCTGATAGAAGCATGGTCACTTGGATTCAGAGTAAGGTTGCCAGACTTTGTTTGCAAGCAAAGCTACTCTATCAGAAAATGTCATTGTACTGCCCCCTATTACTGTGTCTAGCCTTAAAGGTGCAATGTGTAATTTGTGGGCTAAATTTGTGTTTGAATCGTTTATAGAAAATTAACTCTCATTATCGACAGAATGTGAAGAAGATACCATGGTTACTATGTATTGTTTTGCAGAGATATTCACATGCTAAACAGTTAGCTGTGGCCCGTTCGATAGTGAGTCACTGTATTGGATTAAATCCAAAATGGCAGAAACGAGAAAACGTGTCTGTTCGTTTCAGGACGGGGACAGGTTAAACCCACCTGCCCGTCGTGACTCCTGGGCCTGGGGTTTGTGCTGGCTGAGCGGTGAGGACGAGACACTTTCTGCCACTTTGGATTTAGTCCAGCAAACAAACTTCGGGCCATACAGCCCCTGGTTAGTGTCACTGTAAACACATAAAGAACATAAACTATGGGCTGACGCCACATGTGAAGATCATAAAGATAGCAGTGTAATTTTAACCAGCTCTCTGAGTTTCAGCTGTTTGGTTGAATTGTGCGTATACATGCCCTGCTGTTAGTTAGGAGCCAGCTTTATATGCACCTTTAAATTATTTTTCAGGTTATAGTAAACTGTAAATGAACATGATTAAAAAGGACTGTGTGTTATGGCTAGTGTAGACTGAGGTGGTTTCGACAGGCCTGTGAGTATTTATGTGCACAAAGACTGGGCATTTGTATTTTATTGCTTTATCATTTTACTACTTTGTGTTGTCCAAATTAAGGTTTTCAAGCAAATTATATATAAACCTTTCAAATGAGCTCCATGTAAGACATGTGGAGGGATTTATTTCATGTAATACATAAATGATGCATGATTATTATATTTTGATCGTTTAACCTGTGATGTTGTTTTCAATATTAGAAAATATCCAATCATGATTGATGTAAAACATAGATGTTATGTAGCCAACGTATATAGTTTTTTTTTTTGTTTAGCTTTGGAGTAAAAAACAAAGCAGCTCAGTGAAAGTAGCAAATAAGCTCATTGGAATTCAGTACACATGCAAAACACGTAATCCACAATCGACTGACACACACACATCATAGCGATGCCTTCCAGGCCACCACACAGGCTACAGCTAATATCAAACAGACTGAAGGTATGTATTGCAATTGAGGAGGAATTGTTTTAAAAATGAAAATGCTTCTTTAGAATTTTCTTTTCTTGGTATCTTTGCGTAGTTTTTGACCTGTCTTCATTTTGATCTGCAGAAAACTTTGTAACAATGATGCACGTTGCAGCTGAAATGCGTTTGTGTTTGTTTTTTTTTTATTATAAAAATGATGGGTTTGTGATTAATGGAAATGCATTAGATAACAGAATAAAACCCTTTCAAAAACGCATCTGACCTTGAATGTCAGTTCCTGCTTTATTTTTAGTCTGGCACATTCTTTTGCCCCAACCTGTCTAGACTACACCTTAAATCTTACACACAGAGTTACATCTCTGTGGTTTTAGGTTATGATCAGTATGTAGGTGTCATTGAAACTTTTCAGGGTTTCATTGAGGTATTTTAACCTTACACCAAGCAACAGTGGATCGTGGCAAGATGCATTACAATCACATCACATACACATTGAAATTTCACACATTCTACATGTAGAAATAGACATGGTTAGGGGTATAAAAACAGCACAGCTTGATAATTACAGACACACTCCTGTACATAAATACAAATGTCACTAATTAATTTTCTACTCTTTCAAACAAAGCACAGTTTAGCAGACTGGGTTGTTGACATCACACTGACTGTAGCTGTCCTATTCAGCCTGTGGTTATTTTTGTGTTGTTTGTACGGCTGTTGAGTGATTTGCATAGCCTGTTAAAGAACTCCGTCCCAACAGTGCTACTTGCTTTACAGTGCATAGCATTATACGCTGCTGCACTAAAATGGCCACAAAATGTTGACTGAGATTAACTTGAGCTATGTTCCCTATACATTCAGTCTGGGTCCCCACATGGCCTGACACACAATGAAATACTGTTCAAATACCGTAAATGCAACAGCAGAGGTACTAGGAATAACCTCTAAAACGGGGGTCCCCATTACGTTATTTGTCTTTTTTTACATCGATCTTTAGGAAGCTTTTGAGATGCTGGTAGGCAGATTTAATCACATTTGGATCAAACCAGGCGAGCTGTTTCCTCCTGTTTCCACTATCTAAGCTAAGTCAGCCTCCTGCTGGTGGTAGGATAATGTTTAACACGCAACTATGAGAGTGGTATCAATCTTAAAGGTTCTCTGTATGGAATTCAAAGCATATCTACTGACTCAACATGGCGATGGCTGAGCCATTGGCTAGAAGCTAACGGTGCACTTGGCAACCTCACCACTAGATGCCGCTAAATCCTTCAAACTGGACCTTTTAAAAGGTGCATGTATTTATTCCGTTAAAGCCTTCATACCACAGGATTTCCACAAGCCGTAACTCAGTGTTTTTCAACCTTTTCTGAGTCGCGGTACATTT